CATCTGAGGAGATGTGCTCCCTCCTCGTGTGAGAAGTACTTACCTCGAATTAGGAGAAGAGGAAAATTCAGAAGGTAACTTGGAAACATGTTTAAAGAAAAAAAAAAGAAAAGAAAAAAAGGGGAGGGGGGGACACAAGGGAGTTGAGCAACAGTGGCATGAAACAGCTGGAGGGAGTATGTCCTTAATCCATATGACACATTATTACATAAAGAACTACAAAAATACTGCTGAGATTGCCATGGACTACACAAATAATGAGTTTTTGCCACGACGTAGAAATAAACTTTCTTTCTTCAGGTTTCCTACCAAGTAGGATCCTAATACTGAATCCGTGGAGTCCCACCAATTTGAATGAGACTATTCATGAAATTCAGAGCAGATGCTGATGAGTAGGGGAGGAGCAGGTTGGCAGGAAGGAGGAAAAAAGTTATTGGGAGGGAAACTTTTTTCATCAATGGGTTTCTGGAACACTTTCAAAACTGAGGGAAGGGGATTTTGATAAAACTTCCCAAATAAAGCCTAAAGTGTAAACAAACTGATATGTAGGTAATGTGTAAAGCCTGCAGAAGTTTTATTTTCAGGGTATATTTTAATGCTCTGGTAGAGTTAGTACTGCACACTCTAAGAAATCAATGGCCAACTCAGTAGTGTTATTCAGCATGTGAAAGGGTGTGACAATCCACCCTGCATGGAAGGTTCTGCTCTGATGCATTTACACAAGTAATGTATTAAATTATGCAAGCAGCATTTTTTAAAATACTATTTGACAATTCTGCTTGAAGATGTTTGGCTAATTTGCATATAGAGCCAAATTTTGCTTTGAGTTTATTAAATTTTCCCTTTCTGTTAAGCTTCCAGGTTCATTTAACAATGTGAGTTTGTATAAAAGAAGTAACATCCGTGTAGACTCCCTGCACTTTGCGATGCTCATTTCTTTACTCTGTATGCCAGCTCAGGAGCAATAATATCAAGTGACTTCAAAGGACAACTGCTTCCAACAATCTGCAATGGCTTGTATTTCAACTCTGTAACCAGCATAGCTCACCAGACCTGTTATTTTATTTCAAGGCCTGTGCTGCTCTTTTCATGTATTGAGCTACAGTCCCAGCTCAGTGCAAATGAAAGGTGGAGGGAGGAAAAAGCCCAAAGTTGTGTAGAATTTGGGAGGGGAGGAGGTCTGTGTGCATGTGTCTCCAGACATAGGCAAACAGACTATTTTTAAAGTAAACCTGGAAAATAATTTTCACACAAGCAGTCAATAATAAAGCTCGATGACATGTTTTCCTTCTCTCACACCCACTTGCTTCCCTCCTTTGACTGTATCTTGTCTGAAACCAAGACTGTAGGTTCTTTGGAAAAGGATCTGTCACTGTAAATCAACCAGACTCTTATTTGGCTGGCTACGTGCTGCTTTAGAATGAATGGCAATAATTAATAGGTCATTCATTTTGCATGTCAGTGATGTTCATTACAGTAAAAGTATTTGCCTCTCCTCTTCCCTTCCCATTTAAGGCATCAAATGATATCCCTACAAAGTGCTTATTCAAACTGGCAGATCTCTTACATGTGTTAAGGACTAGAAATGTATTGAATTTGACACAGTCTCTTCATTCTGATAATATTGCTTGATAGCGGGTTTCTGAAACAAGGTCAAGGCTAAAGCTGGGCTACTTGACTCATTTTGGGTTTAATATAGGTTAGTGTAATCGATGGCAGTGAAACTTCAGCTCCAGCCTTAGCCTTCCACCAGAAACCTTCTCTTTAGACTGTGAGTGTGGGGATTATTTACAGCCTGAACTAAGCTTTTGCCAACATCCAAGTCAGCATGAGACAGTGCCCATTGCTGAAAGAATCAGTTCCACCTTTCCAAGTGCCTTCAATTTCTCATTTTTACCACCGTACCTTGTCATTGGCAGAAGCATTCGTGTGACTGTACGTTGAGCCGCATCAGGGAGTCACCTAAATTAAAGCTCAACAATTTTTTTTTTTCTAATCTGGTTCACTATCTGGTCCTACAAACTCTTGTATAGGCACAAAAGAAAGTGCCATGTAGGGTCAGAAAAAATGTGGCCAAGAGCAGCAAACAGACTTGTGTAGTAGTGCTTGATAATGCTTGTTTAAAGGGTGCCTGAAACTAAGGCCTGATTCTACCTGATTATGTCTCCTGGACAAAACTCCCTTTGATTTCTGTAGGTATTGTGTCCAAGAAAGGCCTGGCGGCCTTGGTCCTTGAGGGCTTCTTTGAGAAGCAGATAGAGTGTTGAATAAATAGGGCAATGCGATACTATACACAGATTTATCTTAAATACTTCATAATGCAGTTGGTTTTTTATTTAATTCACAGCTACCTATGTCTGCTTGTCTGGTCTTAGGATGAGAGAAAGATTAGACTGGACTTGACTCTGGAAGACAGAAGAGAATGATACAGAAAAAAAAAAAAAAGCAAGCAGGGGTTGGTTGGAGCTTTCACCTCCCTCTTGGCAGTGCCAGAAGGCAAACTTCTGTCATAAGGTTGGTCGGGTTTTTTAGTGCTGCTCGCTCTCTCTTCCATTTTTTCAGAACTGGAAAGGAGATAAAAATCCTGCCCTTCTACCTGTGATTCTGAATTGGCTCTCCTAACCCTTGGCTATGTGCCCAGCAAAACCTCAGAGCCAAATTCCCTGTCAAAGCCAAGCATCCTGTGGCTTGTCTCTATTATCTAAGTGAGGATATACAGGTCCGGAAGAAGATGGGAAGGGAGAAGTACCTGGTCCAATGCAAACAGTGATTTCTTCTTGTATGCTAATGTTTTAATAATGGTTTGAGAGGGATTTGTGAAGATGTTCAAATTCAGTCTGTGTGCAAGAACAAAAAGTGAGCCTGTTGCAACTGCATTTGTAACTGTTTAAATATCAAATAAATTTACCCACTTTTACCTGCACAATATAGGAACATATTCAAGTATGTGCTCGTAGGAAGTCACTGCAGCTCCCACCAAAACCTTGAGACTACAGTGCCACCTGCAGTGTTCTCACCCTTGTCCTCACGGGACAGGGGCCAGCAGCTCACCAGGGTCACGATCTACCACATCATACCTGGGGTACCGAGAGGCTAAGAGCAACCACTGCATGGTGCCCTACAAGCGTGTCCCTCAGCGACCCAGAGCAAAAGTGGTTTTGTCCTGGTTTTAAGGCTTTTCCTAGCTGAGGGTGAGTAGGCAGACTTTGCTTTGCAACTTTGAATTTCCTGGCTTCCTTCACCTCGTGCTTCACAAAATACCTGACGCCTATATCAATAGCATAATGATGTACGGCCTGTTGCAGCTTATTTCTAGAATGTGCTTGCTTTTTATTTGCTTGGTGTGGCTAATGGGAGAACTTACGTAAAGCAATTTCAGGTTTATTGCTTACATCAGTCACTGGAGAAGCTATCAACAGATACTTGCATCACCCACCCGTTACACCCGGACTGGTTAACATGATGTGGGGCAACAACATGACTCCCCCACCCCCCAACTTATTCTTCAGCTCTACTTCCATATAAATATTTTTAATTGCAGAGCGGGGTGAAATGCCTCACTCTGGACACGTGCCAACACTTCTAAATGCCACTACACTACCCCTGCAGTGACTAAATCTGAGGAAAGCACACCCTGTTACCGGTACCTGAGGGAGCCACTCACGCCGTCAGAAGGTGAGGGGACGATGCTGCCATGAGACAGACTGGAGAGGTCTGACTTGGTGTCTTTCTACTCGCTTTGCAAGAGGGTAAATGGCACCACAAGACAACACAACGAAATCCCAGACCTGACGTATATGTATTTTTAATCACATTCAATTGGGAACGCTTATTTAGTCTTATTAAGAGTTTTATTAGCTCTAAAAATAGGTTCTTAAATATTTTCCAAGGTTGACTAAAATATGAAAAACAATTATATAATCAGTGTTTAAAATAAACCACAGTTTGTTATAACTGAGACCCGTTCAGCGGAGTAACGTTTATCAAGAATGACAGCATGTAGGGACTTGTACAGCCTCAACAAATCCACAGCCAGTATTTCTCTGACTGCTTTCAAACTGACCAGTTGCAGAGTCTAGTTGTCTGTTGTCCAACAGAACTTCTACCAGCAAGAACACTGCAAAAGAGCAGAACCCTGTCTTTGGGTGAGGAAGCTGTGAAGTTTTTATCGAAAATAATGAACTGGTCTATTGGTGTACCCCTTTTTTATACTTTCTTATTGTTAAATGAAAACTTTCATAAATAGCCTTACATAAATAATAATCTCAGAAGTTTTAAAAAGTTCACACCACCGGTTGGACCTGACTCAACATTCTCTGGTCTCTCACTGCTTTAACTGTTTCCACAATTATTCTGGAATACAAGAATCCTTAAAGTCTCTTATTGTAAGAGTAGATCATATACTTTCAGTAAGAGTTAAGCTGCAGAGGAAGATTTGGCAGTGAAGTGAAATGCATGTTACAGCTGATGCCGTATTTTTTTTTATTGGAATAACTGGAAACATTAAGCTGTAGTGCAGGTAGGGCTTGAGTCATGCTTTTATCATTGTATCTCTTGGCCTGAGATGAACTATATTATTAAAAACAGTAGCTCAAGCTGATTCTGTACTTTGTTTATCTACAACCAAGCTCAGCCAAATATCAGCTAGCCTAGTGGAAAAAAATGTAGTTGAAGGCTGTGTACATACAGGCACTGCTAATTACTTTCAATGACTGTCAAATGAACGTTGATACTAAGAGATTTCTTAGTATGCCTTTAAACAAAGCACTCTTATCTATGCATAAGGAAAAGCACTACGCAGAGCAGAGTTAATACAACGCCTTAATCTGTATGTTGATTTAGTTTGGGGGGGGGGGGTTTGTGGTGTTTTTCTTTAAAAAAAGTGATTTATCACCCCTTCTCGTTGCTGAAAGGAACTGCACTACCTTCCAGAAGCTTGTGCCCTGGGAGCTCCCAGTGTCAGTTTCAGTAGTATTGACACCTCTTTTCCTCCGTAGCGTTTAAATGACCGGCAGCTTCAGTCTCGGTGACTTTTTGCCTGGAAAGGAGCCGGGTGTATTTGTAAATGACAGCCAGTATAACCCACCCTCTGACTTTGCAATGCCGAGAAACTGCGAAGGGGATAACCGATCGGCCCTGCGGAGCGTGCCTCCTGGCCTTTTCCTGGCCGAGAGATTAGCCGGAGTAGCGGCCGCTGCGCTGGGGAGAGCGGGGGGGACCCGCGGGCTTAAAAAGGCCGAGCGGGAAACCTTCTTGGGGAAGCGGGCGGCGGGATTTAAGGAGCGAGCACTCCCCGACGTGCACGGAACGCAAACACGCCGTGGGTTTCTCTTCCTCAGCTGGAAGTACCGGCGAGCCAGCCTAAACGCTGCCCGCGGACGGCTAGTTAGAACAAGTTTAAGCTCGGGAGCGAAAATTAGCAGGCTTCCTCCGTGCGGCTGCCTCCCGCACCGGGCGCGTTCGC